TCATGGTTGGTCGAGCTCTGGATCTATACATTGCATGTAAAGCATGTGCCAGAGCAAAAACGCCATTGTAGATATTGTAACTTTCACCTGTCATGCTTCTTTCAAAAGTGTAATTTGGCACATTCTGCATTTTCTCATTTCCTGTACATGTTTTTTCTCCCTTAGGAGGGCTCTTTCCTGGTTTATAAACCTTGCAGTCGGAGGACTTCCGGTGGCAGGCGACCTCATCGGACGCAGCTGCTGCTGCCTCCCGCCTGTTTCTGCGTAAAAGCCGTTTTGACAGCTAGCATCAGCTGTCAAACGGCTTGATACCCTTCCCCTGGGCATAAGGGGATAGGTGAGCTGTCCGGGGTAGGAGTTGAGTTCCCGAGTTGTCCCATGTGGACGATGTAGGTGAGAACTCCTCCGGAGCCCCGAGGTTTCTCCGCGATCCAGGACGCCTTCGCTTCGGCGAAGCTAGAAGCCGCCGCCACTGCTGCAACTTAAAATGAACTGTGAGTTTTTTTTGTAAGCAGACGAACCGACCCTGGAAGTTTGCTTCTTATCTTGGACTTTACTCTAACTTGGATAATAAGTTCTTCCCTATACTTGAGGTGGATTGAGGGAAAGTGAACTTAAAATGGCGATGGATTGATACTTTTCAGCAAGAAGTGAAAGTGATTTCCGGTCTGGAACTTTTGTTACTTTTAACCGGTGTATTACTTGCTTTGGCTGAACTGCTTATAAGACTTTTTTATAATTGGAAATTTATCGTGAATATGGCTTCGAGAAAAACCGTGCCTTCAACTTTAAAATCCACTACATCTCCGATGTCCCAGACACCACAGCCAACTTCTAAAATTTCCCACCCGCCACCCCTGCCATCTTCTTCATCTCCACCGCCCTCTGGTAGAGAGCTGCAGGACTTGATGTCTGTAACTATTAAACAAATGACTGAGATGTTTCAAGCGATGGATGTTAAAATGCAAAATAGATTCAATCAAATAATACAACAACAACAGGATTTATCACAACAACAACAAGACCTATCACAGAAACATGAGGATTTTTGTTTGAATGTGGCAACTGCTTTCAAAGGTTTGGCTGATTATGTAGACGCGGTGGCAGAAAGGGTGGAGGAGAATGAACAAAGAGCAGAAGCAAGTGACCATAGACTTGAACTTGTAGAGGAGAGTCTGGAAAATGTTAAGGCTGATGTGTTGATTGCCCAATTTCGTGATATGGAGTTTGCAATTCGGATCCGCGGGTTGGCTGAGGATCCAAAGGAGAATTTAAGACAAGTAATTTCAGATGCACTTAGGGATGCTTTGTCTTGTGGCCAGGAAATTTATTTGGAATTAGAGCGTGTTTTTAGGGTGAACTCTTGGATTGCTCGCCAAAGAAATTTGCCAAGAGATATAGTGGTTTATTTTACAAGAAAATCGAGACGAAATGAAATAATGCAGCTCTTTTATCAACAAAGATTTAAGATCTTAAACCAAGACATCATTCTTTTAAAAGAAATCCCAGCGAAAATACTCAGAGCGCGCCGAGACTATGCCTTTCTTACACAGGAGCTTAAGAATAGACAAATAATTTTCAGATGGGACATACCGGTGGGCATAGTTGTAACATTGGCTGGTAAATGCTATAGACTTAACTCGATTAAGAAAGCTAAGGATTTTATGGCATCTGTTTTGCAAGCAGAATGCCCACCTGCATCTCAAAGGATCGACGCAGCTGAGCAAATGATTGTGGACTTCCCTTCTGCTCCCATTCAGGATGTAGAAGGGAGTTTAAAAGCTGATGGGAAGGAACAGAGAATCACGCGTGCAGCCCATAGATGCAAGGAGAAGGAAAGACAGATGACAGCCCGCCCTACAGCTGATAGCCCTACAGCTGACTGTGCGTTACCTGCTATTTCTGAGCCAGTAGGTGGCGCTCGACCTAAGGTTTTTGTTAAGTCTTATGCATCAAGTATCGTCAGTGGATTGAAACCTGCCAATGTGTAAGCTTATGTCTTGGAATGTGGGTGGACTTAATGTTCCCCATAAAAGACGTAAGGTTTTTCATTATCTACGACATTTTAATAATGACATTACATGTTTACAAGAGACTCACATTGTGGCTAAAGATCAAAAATTATTATTGAACTCTAAGCTTGGAGATTTGTTTGTTGCATCCACCTTAAAAAAAAGAGCTGGGGTTGCAATATATATTAAAAGACACCTTTCACCTATCTTAAAAGAAGTTGATAAAGAAGGAAGATTTTTATTTGTGGAAATAAATCTAAATGGAAGAAAGTGTTTAATAATAGGGGTTTATGCCCCTAACCAACTTTCAGCCCAAAAACAATTTTATAGACAATTACATCAGAAAATTGT